GCAATAAAAGTGATGTTTCTACAATATTTGTTTCCTTTTACAATTTCATTTTAAACCAGTTTCATACATCTAGAAAAACTCTCCAAAGTGAAGGTCGTGGTGAATATATAAGTAAAGCATTTCAAAAGTTGCTTTCTGATAAAAGAGTGAGCCATCAAATGTCATGTCCTCATACACTAGAACAGAATAGGATAACAGAGAGAAAACACAGACATATTATTGAAACATCCATGACTTTGTTACAATCTGCTTCATTACTATCCTAGTTTTGGTCTTTTGCTTGTCAAACCTCAGTATACTTAATCAACAAAATGCCATCCACTACATTAGACAATAAATCACCATTTGAATTGTTGCATAATTCAATACCTGAGATCCAACATTTGAAAGTATTTGGTTGTTCTTATTACCCTTGGTTAAGACCATACAACAACACCAAATTAGAACCTAGAACAATAAAATGTGTGTCTTTTTGGGGTATGCATCCAAGTATAAAGGGTATCTTTGCTATGATGTATCTAGAAAAAAAATTCATATCTCTAGACATGTGATATTTGATGAGATAGAGTTTCCTTACCAATCTTTGGTTCCCTACCGTTTGGTACGTAGGACGGGACGGAACAGAGTGGGACAAAGCGTTTCGTCCCACGTTTGGTGCGCCTAAAACTGGTGGAACGAGTTGTTCCACGGGACAAGTTTTGGGTGAATTTTCGTTTCACCTCACCCCCTAGAACGACTCGTTCCACATCCGTGGAACACAAAATTATAACCTCTCCGTCTCCTTATTCTTCCTCCTTGTTTCCATCCGAGGGCATCTTTGCTCTAGCTCCGTTCCGTTTCGTTCTGTCCCGTCCTGTCCCGTCCCATTCCGTTCCGTCCCGTCCCGTCTGCATACCAAACGATACCAAACATCACTTTGTCACTACTACACCTCTACCATCACTCAAACAAACACCAACTCCAATACCATATCACAATAATGTCCTTGTTTTGCCAGAACCACAAAATCACTTCACATTGGGTTCCTCACTAGGTCCCACACAATTAGGTTCAGCTTCTATACCTAGTTCCATGTCAAATACTATCATCAATCAAGCTTCAGAAGACTCCACTACATTTCCAGTTACAGTTTCAAGTTCAAATTCAGAAGATTCAAGTCCCAATCAATCCATTACTGCACCAACAACACAGCCCTTGTCTCTTACACTCTTTGTGGTACTTGAATTCCAACCTAAACATTTGCAAGTATTTCTATCTATTCCTCCAATCAATCTTCACCCTATGCAGACAAGGTCAAAGAATGTCATCTCAAAGAAAATTGCTATACTTGTTGTTGTACATGAAAATGGAGGAGTTGATTTAAGTCAAGTTGAACCTGCAACATATAAGTCTGCATTAAAATCCCCAGTATGGTATGAGACTATGAAAGATAAGATTTCAGCTTTACATAACCAAGGTACATGGTCATTGGTTCCTCTACCACAACACAAGAACTTAGTAGGTTGCAAATGGGTCTTTAAGATCAAGAAGAATGCTGATGGTTCAATTGGGAGATATAAACCAAGACTAGTGGTAAATGGTTTAATCAAGAAGAAAGTATATGGACAGACTTTTAGCCCGGTTGTTAAACCTACAACAGTGAGATTAGTTCTAACCTTATCTGCACACTTTGGCTGGACATTGAGACAATTGGATGTGAAAAATGCCTTTCTACATGGCATCTTGCAATAAGAGGTGTACATGGCACAACCACCTGGATTTGTTGATACCAAACATAGAGACTATGTTTGCAGATTACATAAATCCTTATATGGATTGAAACAGGCACCAAGGGCATGGAATGAGAGATTCACTAGTTTTCTACCATATTTGGGGTACATATGCAAATTCATCATTGTTTGTGAAAACTGTTGGTAGTTCTGTGGTGATCTTGCTATTATATATTGATGACATCATTATATTAGGAAGTGCAACACAAGCAATCACTAAGGTTATTCAATCTCTTACTCAAGAATTTGATATCAAAGACTAGGGATCACTTCACTACTTTTTGGGGATCCAAATTATGCAGAAGAAGAATGGTTTATTCCTATCTCAAGACAAGTATGTCATAGATTTGTTAACCAAGTCTGAAATGTTGTCTAAACCATGTGCTACTCCATGCTTGCCCTATAATAGATTGCTCAAAGATGATGGAAAGCCTTATGAGAACCCTGCACTATATAGAAGTTTGGTTGGTGCCCTTCAATACTTAACATTCACTAGGCTTGATATTACTTTTGTAGTGCATCAAGTATGTCAATTTATACAAAACCCTATGGAGTCGCATTTCATGGCTGTTAAAAGAATTCTTAGATACTTAAAAGCTACTCAAGGTTGTGGTATTCATTATATCAAAGGTTCACTGGAAGTAATAGCATATAGTGATGCAAATTGGGCAAGGAACGCTAATGATAAAAGATCAACCACTGGAATGGTTGTGTTTCTGGGGTCTAATCCCATTTCATGGTCATCTAAGAAACAAAACATTGTTTCTTGATCATCAACTGAAGCTGAATATCGAGCTTTGTTAACCACAACAGCTAAAATCGATTGGATCAAACAACTGTTGGTTTTTCTGCCTGTTCCATTTTCTGATAAACTACTCATCTTTTGTGATAACTTATCTGCAATAACCCTTACTTGCAATCCAATTCAACATCAACGCACTAAGCACATTGAGATTGATGTGCATTTTGTTTTAGAGAGGGTAGCAAAACAGCAACTGCAGGTGCATATCGTGTCTTCGAATGAACAGTTTGCTAATATACTTACAAAAGGATCTCTGCACCACTATTTTAGACACGTTGTGCCAATCTCAAGGTCAATTTCTCTACTCTTGAGCTTGAGGGAGGATGTTAGGAGTATTAAGATTCTATGGCTATGGAATTGACATGTGTCGAGAGATTATGAAGTTAGTCAAGTTTGTTGTGATTGTAGCTTAGAGTGCAAGCTACTATAGCTATTATATATAGCTTGTAATAAACAGTTGTACCTAACAAGAAAGATTAATACATTTCCAAAGATACCTTCTCTCTCTAAACCCTCTCAATCTTCTTCTTCTCTCTCTGCATAACAATTCTTACCAAATCCTTCAATGGTTTACAGCTACTTACTTTCTTTTGAAATATGGATGGCTGACACATAAAGCTTCATAGCCGCACAAAAGATCAAAGATTTTTGTTCTATTTTTTCTTTGAACAATTGTTTGAATGAAAGGAGCCAGAAAAAGAACCTGCTTTTATGGAAAGCTATCCAGCTGAAAAACCTTAGAGAGCTAGTCAACTTAGATTGTGCTTTTCTTCATCGTGAAGATGTCCTCTCTTTCGATGCGTGCAAAGTTGATTTAAAGATCTTCTGATTCCTGAAAAAGCACCCAATTTCGTTAAAACAATGTCTCTAGTCAAGTGCTTATCCTGAAAGCGCAGCACCAAAAAGTAAACATGCTTATCAGCCTTAATCTTAAGCAATAATTGGTTAATTTAATTCATTTGAGTCATGTATTTTTAAGGAGATGTGATTATTGGACCAAAGTTATAATGGTGAAGAAACAAGGTTATTTATGATTTGTATTAATTTTATAAGGTATATCTTGCAACTGTTTAGTATAAAAAAGTTTAACATTAAAGAGAAAGGAGTACAAATACTTAATGCATAAGAAAGTCTTTCAGAATTTGCTACTTTGCCTAAATTTCTACTTTAAACAGTTTTATGGTTGAATTACCATGTGAATGTCAAACCATTGCATATAGCTTTAGTTAAATGCCTTTCATATACTTTTGCATAATCCATTAATCAGTTTTAACTAATTAATCTTGTTATACTGCAATTTGCTCAATTGTTTGTGGCCATTGTTTCGGTTGGAACTGGTCTTTATATGCGATTTTGTGTATTTATTTATTTTTTGGTTTTACGATTATGTGAAGGCAAGTCTTGGCATAACAGAAATGTTATTCCTTTATAACCAAAAGGTCACAAATTTGAATTGTGGAAACAAGTTATTTGCAAAGTAAGAATAATGATGTGTACGATAGACGTTCTCCCTTTCGTATCTCACAAACCAGAGAGCATTGTTGACTTATGATTGCTCTTTTGGTTTTACGATTATGTGTAGTTCGATTGCTGGAGACCGAGATCTGCTCAACGTTCAAAAAATTTCCATGGCCACATGCGCTACATTTGATGACAAGGATGCTTGAGGTGGGACGATATTGCTCATTTAGGCTTATGGATAGTTTTAGGATTTTGGTTGATAAAGGTTTTGCAGGCTTAGCTTGAGATCATGCTTTATTTTAGTAATGTGGGTGTAGTTTGCCTCTTGGACTCATTGATTCTTTCGCCCGTTTGGGTTTGATATTTGGCGTCATAGTTGCATGATTGAAATTATCTTATGATAATTTTGTATTAGAAATAAAAAGAATACTAGGTTCATTACACATACGGAGTTTTTCTTCTTTGCAAACAAATCATAGTTTGACATATGTGCATAAATTTTTATTTTTGTACTTTTAATAAGTCACTTCATTAGAAGTGTCGGTCTATAATTTTTAGCCAATACGAGATGACTTTTTTTTTGAACAAACGTTATTATCTACACGGTGAGATTAGTATCACAATAGACTAGCAATAATGTGATTCAAATTCGCCTTTAACGAGAATTGAACTTAAGATCTCTAACTTACAAGTGAAGAGGAATACCACTAGACCGTAGTACTAAGTGACATAAGAAATGACTTATTAAATGTAAGGAGCTAAGTATCGTTCTTCGACTAACAAGTGTCATATTTTACGACCAATCATACCTTGCCATGTGTCTTGACAGAAAATTAGTAATCTTAATCTCAGCCCACATCCCCTTCTTTGGGCCTAAAAAAAAAACCTTGCGGTATCCTAGTAAAAGCTTAGACAGCCTAACCAGCTTTCATGCAAAATCTGGCCCAACAAGTTTTGTCCCTTATTTGTTGCTGGTCTCCTCTGAATGTTTCTAGGGTTTTTCAGAGCGTGTGAGACGGTGAGATTGTCCTCAAAGCTCAAGAATTTAGAAGGGTTTTGGCGGAATAGCGAGCACAAACTGCCATGGATCCTTCAGCAATGAACAACCCTGAACTCCTTAACTTCATCAACGTAAGTTCTATTATCCTTCTCCCTGTTTGGTTCCCGATAAAATTCACGAGGACGAAAAGAAAGCCAGTTACTTTTGATTTGAGCGGATTAAAACTCTGAATATATTTGGGGATTTAGGGTTTTGGATTTGTTTTTGTATGTATATGTTTTGGAATGCATATATTTCACATAGATCTATATATGCTTGATTACCCATTTGAAAGCTGTAATTTTAGCCCTATCGATTATCCGTCAACTTTTTTGCTTTTATGAATTTGTATGCAAGTCTCAAGCAAACTATTTCTCCCTAATAATAGTCTTAAGATGAGGGTGATCCTTGGCGCTTGGCGCAGTGGAAATGTTGCTCTTTTGTGGCCAATAGGTCACGGGTTCGAGTTATAGAGACAGCCTCGTAGACGTTCCTCCCCCGACCCTCGCAAAGGGGGAGCCTTGTTGGCTTGGGGTCCTAAACAAAAAATAAAATAGTCTTAAGATATTAATCGAGCCCTTATGCACGAGTAATTGGCAGTTTTGGAGTAGATTTTTCGTTATCGTACTATTTGGTTTTTGAAGAAGTGTCAGGATGGAAATCTTTATCTTTCAGTGTACAGTTCAATGCTTCAATTCTTTAGGGTGACCGTCTTGAGCAACATTGTCGAATGCCTAAAAATTGCTTCCAAATTTCGCCCCCGGATTTCCATTATGGTGCTTAACATTGTGTGATAGCCGGTTACACCTGAATTCAAATTGATTTTTTCGTACTTCTTATCGGAGGAAAAAAACATAAGCATAGAAGAATTTTATGAAGATATTGATGAATTGACGAATTGAGATGTCGCCTGTATAGCCTTGAAACTAAGTTCAAATGTTTTATCTTGATTGGATGTGGGTTGACTAATGTTCTGGCGATATCCTCTGTAGCTTTGTCAAAACAAAATAATGTTTTTCAAATTCTTGCGCAACCAATTGCTATGTGATTATTGCTGCGGTATACCTGTTTCTGGTGCTAGTTTGTTACTTTTCCGTCAATATACTTATGCCATTGATGGTTGATTTTTCTTAAACAACGCTGTGCTTGCTGTGCAGCAAGAGAAGGAAAGAGCAATGGTGAATGAGATGGTGGGAAAGCTTACGAATGTATGTTGGGACAAGTGCATCACTGGTACCCCCGGGAGCAAGTTCAGTTCCAGCGAGTCTGCTTGCCTGGCAAACTGCGCCCGCCGATATCTTGATATGAGTATGATTATTATGAAGCGTTTTCAGAGCATGCAATGATGGCCTAGAAGTTTTCCGGTGCTTTCTCAATTCCATGACGTGGTCCATTTTTCGCATCTGAAATCAGTTAGGTTCAGTTGAAAATGCTCTGTAATGTTGGAAACGGTTTCTTCCCCCTTTCTTTAACTATTGTATTCGATACCTCTATTGTGATCACCGTGATGAATGCATTACATGTTGCGCCGGCAGCAGGGCTGTAAATTTGATGCTACGACAGTTTGAAAATTTTTAGCGAGCAAAACACAATGTGTGAAATATGACTCAGAATCACGGGTATATCTACAAGCAAAGTAGTGGCCCGTCTGAAATGCTTTTGTAGAAAAGCATTTATGCTCACAACATAAGTGCTTTCTGCAAAATCGCTTATTTTTTTGAGGCACAACAAGCTTTTTAAGACAGATCCAAGTGCTTTTTGAAAATGCATTTGGAAGCACCCCCGAGGAACCACTTGATAGGCGCTTGCTTCTCTTTGAAGGCACTGCAACTGCAAGTGCCTTATAATCTAGAAAGTAGAAAAACTTGGAGCATGGATGTATTTTTCCTGCCAAATGTCTCTAAAAGCACTTTTGGAGTTTTGACTTTTGAGAGTGCCTTTCAGTCCTTTCAGATTTTTCTTTCTTGTATTTAAAATTCAAAAACCTTCAAGCTTTATACGTTATAATTCTAAAAAGCAAAATCAAAATTGCATTGCTTGCTTAAAAAGTAAAACAAATCACTTCTTGCGTAAAAAGCCAATATCTTAGAATTCACACAAACTTTTCTACTCTTTCTATAACTCCCTTCTCTCACAAAGTTTTCCGATGGGATTTCAAGGTGTCGGCGTACTTGAACCCCTGACACGGGGACAATGAAGACATTGTACGCGTGACCGCAGATGACAAATCTTGTAACTTTGAGCCAAGTGATCAATCGCTTTCGGTTCATCAGGAGCTCTAAATTACTTGGAATGTGATGAGAAGGTACTATTCAGACTATGACATCAACCAAAATAAGTCCGTAGTGAATTTTACAGGTCTAATGGTGTACAAATACAATTCTCATCACCACATTCATTGTGGGAAATTGTATCCTCAATGACAATTGATCATACGGTATCTGAGAAGATATGTTTCCCGTTCGATCGGAATAGGTTGCGCTGCAAAAACAGCGGCGACAAAGTAAGATTAAAACCGTTAGGGAGCGTAATTAACATGATTGATGAAATTATGTAGCGTCATCAAGGGCAAGCTGCCTTGGGACGCAAGAAGCTGGACATTCTTTTCACGTTTCATAAGCAAATTAATTTTTCGCATCAACAATATGAAGCAATGGCTCGACATCATCAAGAGCTCGAACGTGCTGTGATTGAGTCGTTAGAAGAAGAACTAGGGTTGGGATCAAAGCCTACTGATGATATAAGATCCTGATTTGAACATGCAGTGTATGTTTTTGCTTCTGCAAATCAGTTAAGTAAAACAGTTCTGTTGATCTGGAAACAGATTTCTTATTCTGATGACTGAAGTACATTTCATAGTGCTAGAAAACCTCGTCCAGACAACAGGTAAAACAGAAAGATGAAACAAATTTCGAACATACGCGAAAAATTGCTTCCACATTTATACCAGGAAAACTGTGGTGGTTAAATTACAGATGTGGTCAAAAGAAAAAAAAAGATAAAACTCATGATGGCGTTGCGCACATTGGAAAGAATTAACTGCTTGAGAGAGCTGTTCTTTCAAACTTCAACTTACATACAGACAATATAACACAGCTTAACATTTCAAAAGCTCGCGCAGCCTTTCTTTATATTGTTTTCTTTAGTATAATCGTCTTCCTGTTCATCAAGTATCTACATACTTGTACGAGATTGTCTAATTTCTGGTGTCGCCGTTGATACCATTTCCATCAGTGACCCGTTTTGAATCCCCAACTCCAGCAGCAAAAGCAAGAACTTCAGGTGCTATATCTATACTTCCACTCCTCCTTCCCCAACTAGAACGTCTTGGATGCGAGGCAACATGTCTCTCTGTGCTCTCTGTTCGGAGACTCCTGCTTAAATCTTGGGACCTATCAGCCTCACTCACTCGGGGGTCCTTGTTTACTCCATCGTTGCTAAATTGCCCTTCATAATCGCCCACCTCTCCTGAAGCGTCATTCCAGAATGGTTTCCTCCCCATTTCTATGTCACTCATGGCTCTCCCCATGACAGGACTAACAAAGTTGGCACCGACTGGTGCAGGAAGAACAGGATCTTTTGGAACTTTTTCCCTGAAATTGTTCTTGGATGGAGAAATACTAGTGCAGAATACCTCCATGAAGTTCTTAATTGTGCCTTTGTTGAATGGGTTCTCTCGTCCATCATACCGGTATCTAAAGTTTTCATAAGTAGACTGCCAATGCACAACAAAATAGAACTCAACGTTACAAGACAGAAAAAAAAGAAAAAAAAAGAAAAAAAACAAAAAACAAAAAACATGAATTCAAAAGTATAGATGGATCTACATGAATAAGTATCACCACACACAGCACAGCAAAATTGTTTAATGAATGAGTTTCTAACCTGGTTCATACTGATGAGGTATGAGTGGAACACAGTAAGACCGCCGACAAACCAAAAGGCAATGAAACTGTAAATAATGAGCGCAATGGAGGCAGGAGTCTTTACTAGCGCTTTCCAAATTGATATATCCTCGCCGTGCATGATCCTCACAACGTAGACCCAGCAAAACCCCTGTACATATAAGCAAAGAAGAGTTGCAGACGACACGAACATGAAGAAGAACCTGTAGTTCCGCTGCACACAGAAATCAAAGGCAGGTTTACATAAATTTTGAGCAATTGTTTTGAGTTTTTGCGATTCTTCTAATCAATTATAAATTAGTCATCCAATCAAACTAAGCACCTCCGCAGAAGTGAAAATATTAATAGAAAAGTACCAAGGTTTAGGTCCTGAAAGAATGTCCCTTACCAATCCAATACATTGGCCAACCCAAGGGCAGTGATGGTCGAATCGCTGCACGCAGTTATTGCATATGGAACAGTGAGAACAACGAGGAGGTCTGTAAAGCATGCAGGTGTCACAGTATTTGATCTTCACAGTAATACCATTGATAACTACTTCCCTCGTGCGTGGAAAACGTGGCTGTTGTGATTCGCTTGACCCACTCTCCATACTCGCATCATAATCCTCTGGCTCTGGAGGGCAAAGATTACGAGGTACTATACCAGGATCTCTTCCTGAGGTTAGCATAAGAAAAACCAAAACCTGAGAAAACAAATACACACGCTTCCATTCATCAGAACACAAGTTGTTGCACCAAACTTCAGAAATTTGACCATCATAATTCTCGTTGGCAGTACATAGTTCAGGCATTCATGAAAAGAGAGTGCCGAATAAGTAGAAAACTACTATCACAAAAATCATGACATTCAGTTATACTAATAAGCTATGCATTAGTAAATTCCAAGCGTGTGCGTTGAGCAAATGTGTATACATACAATCTTATTAACCACTACAACAGAATTCAAATAGGAAAAGGACTTACAAGTAGCGTCCATAGAGAAGCGGCAACAATTACTGAAATTCCCAAGTGATCAATGAGTTTCCTTCCTACGAAGACGCAGAAAACTGCAACAGGCACTGTAAGTAGGAATACTGTTAACGGAAGAGATCTGACATCGGGTCCAAATATAAGCCTTCCACCAAGCAAAAATATCTGCAGAATAAACAGCCAACAATGTCTTTGAGTAAACATAAACGCATAACAAGGATGCATATGCTGCCACTTACAAGCAAGGACAAACCAAAAGAAAAGCTCAAATGCCGAATCGTCAAATCGTCATATATTTAAAAGGGGGTAGAATCCACAGGAAAGGATATCCTCCCCTTATGCTACGACATGATCAATAAGCATAAGTTTCGGTCTGTGAGGATTGTATGGTTAAAGGGTATGCTGGGAATGCCAAAGCAGTGACCTAAACCGTAAACTCAAAGACGAACAAGATAGTGTGCCCGCCTCCTTGCATTCAAGTTTGAATCTCCCCAATAAAGTACAGCAGTTCATATTGTCGTCTTGCCAAAATATAAAAAGTAAAAATTGGACATAATCCCCAGTTTTCCAAGCAATAATTAAAGCTAATTTGTGTCCGGTCAATCACCAAACAAATTACCACTTCTGAAAAGCAGTCACAACCCAAATCAATCAACACAATTTTGCATCTTTCAACACCTTCCTAATAAAAAAGCAATCATCTTTCAATCAAACACTCAAAAAAAAAAAAAAAAAAAAAGAAACCCCATGCAATTTCAGCAACTGGGTAACTCCAAGATTCCCCAAAAGTGAGCAAAATCAAGAAAAGCAAACAAAACTTCACATATGAAAAACAAAACCCAAGTGAGAGATTTAGCTTACGTTGCTGCCTTTCCAGGTCTTGTATGTCCTGACCAGCTCCGGCCCACCGGCAGCAGCGCCGCCGTCAGGGGAGGGCCGATGGCGGTGACGCGACTCCGCATCCATCATGTACTCTCCGGGGGTGGGCGTGGGGGGCTTGCGTCAAAGGAAACGAAATAATTGGAAAAGTAAGAAACAAAAGTCAAAGAAAGGTTGGTTGTTTATTGGTGGGCTGGAGTTGACTTTTCCTCAATCAGCGTCATCCTTTGTAAGACTGAATAGTAAAAAAATCCCAAGAAGCTTCTCTCTGTCTGTCTCCTCCCAATTGGTTTAAGGCATGAGGTGTCACATTCCGGCAACTGCTGGAGGAGGAGAGAGATATAAGTGGTCGAGTCTTGCGGAAGAAGATCCTCTTCCGAACTAACCATTCATTATGTATTCTACCATCAGTTTTTGTAAGATATGTTTAAATTTAAATATAAAAGAAATCAAATAATTTTTTATTATACGATATACGATGAATAATTAAAATATAAATTTTCTAAAATCTCAATGAAGTAAATCCGGATAAAATCTAATTCCAAGTCTTGCAACTATGTCTACAAGTTCAATCATACACATACACATGTGGTTATGTGACGCATTGTATCATCGCATTATGAGGTAGGTGGCTGTTTTGAGGACAAACCGACAAAGTCAGTTAGCATGATTCGTCTCTCGGTCAAAACATGGATTTTCTGATGCCAAATACCGTATTTGATACGGGGTTTTGGGCTGCAAGAGATCTTGGGCACTTTGCAGGTGTTTGTCTTATGGGCCTGACTTATTCGTTTCAGATGGATTGAGTTGGAAATGGCTGTATCTATATTGGATTATCGATTTTAATCAAATCCAAATGACGTCAAGTGTTGGTATACGTATACCTTTTCGAGTCGAGGCACTTAATTTGTGGCTTGACATTCTGGAATAAGGGTTTTCGTTCCGTTCTCCACCCAATCCCCTAATTGTTCGAAGGTTTGTAACGATAGATTTTTCAGTGTGATCGGTACACAGAATAGTACACCACGTGTTGTTAGACAAATAATAGGATATGTATGCTAAGAAGTTAATAATTTAAAAAATAAAATTTCCATCATTCCTGTTAAAACACATAATGTATCACTTGTATTCCCGTCATAACTAAAAATTTCTCGATCTGTCACATCATGGTAGTTGACGAAGTTGGGGATTCATCTCATCAACACGCGCACAAATACTTGTCCATTTTGCGATCTCTCCTAACATTGCCCAATTAAGGGGTTTGACGGGTGCCACATTTGGTACTCCTTTGGTGATTTGTGCAATAAACAATCAAATTGAAGATCATCACGTCATCAATAAATAATCTAATAAATTGACCCATTTTGGTAACAATTATGATCTTCGTAATTAATTATTTATTTATTTGATACATTTGAATGATCAAACAATCTCCAAATTTAATAAATTTTTCTAAAATTCGTCTCAACAATTCTGGTAAGAACATAATTAGATGATGAAGAGACGCTGACGACAGTGTGGTGGATGTTTAGCTAAATTTTGTGGACTTTATTTGTTGTTTACTTTTTTAATGATTGACTGTCATGTGAATGGCACATGATTTTTCTTTTTTTTGAGAAAAAAATTGGTTGAAAGCGGCAGAGAAGACATTGGTGATTTAAACAGAGAAATGCTATCAAGACCGCTGACGACTAGTAAATTTAAAGAAAATCTTGACAAATACTTCAATCAAACCATATATCAATTTATCCACACCATGAGAAGTCTTTTAATTATATGCCTTTAATCCTTTGAGGGGTAATGCTGCCAGAAAGACTAATTTTTAAAACTAAATATTGTAAACCATATAACATGGTTATTGATGATTGGATTATTACTTAAGTATTGATTAACGTGCTTAAGTGTCTTTAAAGGATAATGCTAGATAGACTAGCTTTTTAAACCAAATTTTATAAATTATATGACTTGGTTATTGATAATTGATTAACGTGCTTATTTTCTATTAGTAACACATCATATTATTTGCAAATTTAGTTTAAAATTTGGATCTCCCTACCATATAATTCAAAGGTCTAGAATTAAAAAATTGGCTAAAAATTTACAAAAAGAGAAAGAAAAAAACCCTAAAAATACATGAGTCGTTCCTAATGATCGCGACCTATAATTTCTTTAGCTGCAATTGCTTGAGTGCTTCCTTTCTTTATCCTTTTAACTTGGTCTTGCTTATCCCTCACTCTAAGCCTTCCCCAAAAACATGCATGCCCTTCTGCTTCAGTTTTTGCGTTCTTTCCTTTTGCTCACTTCCTTTATTTCAATCAACTTTGAGTTATATTTATGTGCAGATAATGAAGCGTACTCAAACTGCAGCGAAGCCATCAACTGCGGGGGCATCTGGTCAAACGTCGTGTACCCGTTTTGGGGTGTAAACAGACCCTATTACTGTGGCCAACCTGGGTTTGAGGTCCAATGCCTAGACAGCGTTCCCGTGTTCAGCATGTGGAATATCGACTACAGAATTCTCGAAATGAATTCGAGTAGGTTGTCCTCGGACTATTAAAGTTGCTCGGCAGGACTATTGGAAAACTATCTGTCCTCCCACTTTTGTTTACACCAACATCAACGTCTCTCTGTTTGATTATGCTTCCGGGCTTGAAGACGTGACCTTTTACTACGTATGCAGTACAAATACGGGTACTACTATCCCGGGATTTAATTTTAATTCCCAATCCTGCAGTAATAACATGAGGGGCATCGCTAATTCGAATACGACTATCCAGGGCGATCCCGGATTTGATATTAATACGTATGTCACAAGAAATCCCGGATTTGATCCAGTTGCGACTGGCCTATGTACGTACAGGGTCAGTGTTCCAGTTTTTACTACAGCTGTTCTTGCTCTAGAGTCCAATCGAACGACTATCCAGGGCGCGATCGATGGGGGTTTTGAATTGGAAATTAAGATTGATGATGATGAATGCAACAGTTGTGAGGTATCAGGAGGAACGTGCGGGCTTAACATTACTAGTGGTGGATTCAGTTGCTTTTGCCATGATCGGGATAATGCAAATGCAACCACATGCAAATCAACCTCAACTCGGTCATCAGGTACGTTATGCTTATCTCACTGCAATCGATTAACTACGCGGAACCAATCATGCATTAGATTTTCATGCGTTGATAAAATTAGATGGAGTTATTAACTACATTGAAAAAGGTATGAAACTATCTAAATTATAGTGAAAACGAGAAGAAGAAGATGAAAGTTTAGAAGGAAATGACAGCTTGCATTAATATCTTCCAAGTTGAATAGATTACAAAAAAATGAGACAGAGTTTCCAATTTATAGTAGCCTATAAAAAATAACTAACTCTACTGCCTTCTAACAAACTCTTCTAATAGCTTTCATGAGCTATACTAATCTTCACCATTCAATTATAAACCAATCTCCACCATACATCTGTTAGTAGGAGTAGCCCATAATTAAAAGGATGCATTTTTACACACCACTCTCAAGTGGTAGTAATGCTCACCATCCTACTAAGGCCAACTTTAATGGCTAGGGTTAAAACCTAAATTTTTAGCCAAAAAAATTAGGTTCTAACCCAGAAACAGTTTTTCTTCTCAGATAGTTTTGGCTTAAACTTTTAACCTGAAATTATGAAAGAATGATTTTAGCCTTTTTTTTTTTTTTTTCAATAACCTTTTTAAAAATAAAATTGTAATTTATTTTTATGAACATTTTAACCTTAAAATATATACATTCCGAAAATATTAAAAATCGCTAAACCTACCTCATTCTTACACAATGTATCACATGGAAAACCACACAACCTACCCCATTCTTAAACACAAATACATAGATGGGTAGAAAGAAAAAAAATGAATAATTGTTTGGCAAAAGTTGTAGGTATTTATTGAGTTTTTGGGTGAATTTTGATTTAAATAATTTTTTTTATTGTTTTAGCCGTTGGATTTAATTTTGGGCTTTAAATATTCTTTTTACGGTTAGATTTGCTCATATTCAATCTCAACCGTTGAATTTAATGTATTTATAATATTTTTTAAAATAAATTTTAACCAAAGGTCCAACCACGTGGACCGTCCGATAAAAAAAATAGTCGTTGGTTTTTTTGCAAGTGGCCAACAACGTCAAGTAACTGGATCCCAGCCACTAACCCTGGCTCATTTTTTGGGTTAAATTTGGCTTAAAAATACCCAAACCCTTTTTTAGCCCAATGATTAGAGAAGCTTTGGGAGAGTTTCAAACTTAAATTTTGAGTTTTAACCCAACCATTAGAGTTGGTCTAATTACATTGGATGAGTTTAAATTTTGTGATTCGTGTATGTTTACTACACAAATTTTAAAATTTAAATTTATTATAAATAAGGTGGTGAATATCACCGATTATGACTTGAGAGTGGTGAGAAAAATATTCCCCAATTACAAGCGTATAAATTTGAACTTTTATTACCTATCAAAAGCTCCACCCATTCCAAGAAACTGAAGTTTTGTGCGTTTTGTTTTGATATTGACAAGTCTTTGACAATATTTCTTTGGTGGAAGTTCGGCTAAGCCATACAATGGGTAGCCTAATTTAGTATCGAATTTGTCATCCATAAGATTCGAACCTAAAACCTCTCACTTTTAAATGAAGAGGAATATCATTAGACCATAGTACTGAATGATGATATATGTCAAGTTTGAGTTCCACGTATAATACTTCTATGTTTTTTGGCAGATGCGCATGGAATAGTCTAATAAGAAATGTTAAGGAGACTCTCTCAAAGTGTAATTCTTCATGGACTCTTCGCCACTTCATGTTTTTTGCACAAATTTTTATAATGATGACACGAGAATTGTGCGAAAAACATGATGTGACGGAGAGTTCATGAAGAGTCTCATTACTTCTGAGAGAGTTTCTTTAGCATTTCTCTAGTTCAATTACCCCAAATATATATGTTAAAATAAAGTTTGTATTTTTATAGAAATTACGAGCCCAAATTTACATTGACTGGCTAGCACTCGTTTAAAGTCTAACATTCCAAATTTACATTGATTGACTGGCTAGCACTCGTTTAAAGTCTAACATTCCAAATTTACATTGACTGGCTAGCACTCTTTTCTCCAGTGGTACCTTAGATTGCGGGGCTCACTCTATTTCCAATGTCCTATTTTTTCTCTCTCTTGACCACGGAAAGTTAATTAAATTAAGCCTTCTCATAAACCTAAATGTACGATGCTGCTTTGTCTATTTTTTCTTATATAATGCATAAGTGAATGCTTAAGAACTAATTAGGATCTTAGTTCAAGGGACTAAAATTTTCTGTCATTTAGTTAGTAATTAACTTCAATATGTTCCATACATCTTGTCAACTTAATAATTTTGTCAAATGACTCAAATCTACATTCGATATACGTTTGCAAGTTACAATACTTATCATCAATTAGCCGTCATCTGTTGCAGGTTCAAGTTCAACGTCACGTGATTGGAAAATAGGTACGTACGATACATATACATGCATGTGATGAATAACAAATAATATACAAGTTTCTTTAGATTTTTTGTATTTATATGCTTTTCTGTGGTCGAATAATTCATGAAATCATAACTTCAACGATTTTTTAACGTAGGTTTTTCGGTTGGTGTTCCTGGGACCACAGTGCTAATTGTTTGTGTAATATGCTTAACGAGGAAAAGAATGGTAAAGCTCTTCAAGAAATACAAAAGGGAAAGATTTGATGTTGAGGCTTTATAAGGAACTATGGATCACTTACTCTAAACCGGTATAGTTATTCAGATGTGAAGAAAATGACAATCTCCTTCAGAGATACAATAGGTAAAGGAGGCTTTGGCACTGTATACAAAGGAAAACTACCCGACGATGGACGTATTGTTGCAGTGAAAGTCCTTAGCGAGTCCAAAGGTAACGGAGAAGAATTTATCAATGAAGTTGCTAGCATTGGTAGAACTTCCCATGTCAACATAGTCACTCTTTTCGGATTCTGTTACGAAAGGGACAGAAGAGCTTTGATTTACGAATTCATGCCTAACGGATCTCTTGATAGTTTCATACGTAAGCAAGGATCTGATATTGAAAAGTGTCGCTTAGGGTGGAAGACATTATCTGAAATAGCGGTTGGTGTTGCACGTGGACTAGAGTACTTGCACCGCGGTTGCAACACAAGAATTTTGCATTTTGACATAAAGCCGCAAAACATTCTTTTGGACAAAGACTTTTGCCCGAAAATTGCTGATTTCGGTCTTGCCAAACTATGCAAAGCGAAGGAGAGCATTGTGTCGATGTTGGGCACAAGAGGAACTGCAGGATACATCGCACCTGAAGTATTTAGTCGGAGTTTTGGAGGAGTGTCTCACAAGTCTGATGTGTACAGCTACGGAATGCTGGTTCTCGAAGTGGTTGGAGCAAGAAAGAATTTGGATTCTAGAGTGTCTCATACGAGTGAAATGTTTCCGCATTACGTTTATAAAATTCTAGAGCTAGAGAACAGTGAGAATGTTTTTGGGGCTATCAGTGAGGAGGAAAATGAAATAGCAAGAAGGATGGTGTTGATAAGCATGTGGTGCATTCAGACCATTCCTTCTGATCGGCCATCGATGAGCAAAGTGGTGGAGATGTTGGAGGGACCCCTTCAATCCTTGCAAATTGCCCCCAAGCCCTTCTTGTTTTCTCCTACAACAGCTGCAGTAGACTCCACGAGCACATCCCAACAGTCTGATGAAACAAACTAGGGCAACTAGATTTGTTAGCAGCTCTTTGGTAATTAGGAATTCCAGCTGAATTTGAATTGTACGAAAACTTTTCTTTGAGAAATGAAATCTCTTTTCATGTATTATATATGAACAACCTTTTCTTAACACAAAAACCACTTAATAAGGTTAGGGTCTAGCATGATATTTTTTTTATATGTATAACATGTTTCCTTCTAATTCTGCTCAATAAAGTACACTAACTAGCTAGTCGCGATACTTTTCTTCTTAATGTCGGAAGAGGTTCATCTGATCTCCCTCATTCATGATAGATCTAGCTTGAGTTTGACTCCGCTACCGAAACCAACTACACCAAACAGTAATTTCTGTGAACGGAGTGTGATAATAGCAATATAAAAGTTACTAACACAGAAAATGCCAAGTGGCAAATGTATGTGAAGACAAGTGTCATTAATATAGAGGAGGCTTAGAAAGTAAGCTAGGCATTTATAAGGTGTATTTCCTATAAATAGCAAATGTACGGTTTCATTGAAAGGTTAAGGATAATTAAAAACTTTCCTGCTCTCTTTCTCTCTCTCTTTAAACTGTTAACTGCCATACTTTAGCTTAATGTTTTCTTTGCTGCTAAGCTTCCAAGATTGTTATGATGGTATCAAGAGCTTGCGATTCACCTGTGGGATTACGTAGTTCTTGATTTACGAGCTCACGATTTGCTGCAACGTTGTAAGGTTTCTTTGTTCTCAGTCTTGTTCTTACGAAATTTACAATCTTTGCTCTTATCAAGGCCAATTGCCAGGAATTCTGTTTAATTAGTTGTTTGAATCAGTAATTGTTGATCAAGATTTGCTATATAGTGGTTATAAGATGCGTTCACAGTTCAAAGTTGACAGTATTTTGGGGATGTTAACAATTCAGCTTGGTGATACAAATTATTCCAAATGGCATATCAATTTCCATCTATACTCAGGGGATATAAGTTGTTTGATCATTTTGATGGGACTTCAGTGTGTCCTCCAAAATTACTCATTAATACTAATACTAGAGTTACTAAAGAAATCACAGTTGCTTATTAGGATTGGGAACAAACAGATTTGACACTACTTAGTCTTTTAATAGCTACACTGCCAGATGATGCTATTGATCAGGTTCTAGGATGTAGAATAGCTCAAGAAGCTTGGTCTATTCTTGAGGATAGGTATGCTACTGTGTCTAAGTTCAGGATTAACATGTTGAAGACTGAATTCCAGACATTACAAAAAGGGGCAGATACAATTGATAACTACTTATCTCGTCTTAAGTCAATTCGAGATGAACTTATTGCTGCTAGTGAAGCGATTTCAAATAATGACATGATCATTGCTGCACTAGAAGGGTTACCAAGGAAGTATGCGGTTCTAAGAACTGTTATTTTGGCGATGGAGACCACTATTTCTCTTAAAGAGTTTCGAGCACAACTTCTCAATATTGAAAGAGATATAGATAGTCTTGAAAATTATTTGTCTAGTACTATGGCAACAATGTATATGCAAGGCTCCTATTCACATATTGGATATTCTGGTGCTTCTCAGAATGGTTTTGCCGGTTCTTCTTCTCAAAAGGGTTATTCTGGTAATTCTCATAATGGATTTGCAGGCTCATCTCTTCGTCAACCATGTATCGTGAAACAAATCCATCAACAAGAATGTGGAGCCAAAAATAATCAAGAAAATCACAGAGGTAACACGTGGACTTTTGGGTAAAGAAGACAAAATTATCCTTAAGCCATATCACAACCCCATACACATGCAACGGACAATAACGGCTCAATCGAGGTCAAAGGTGATCAAAATGGTATTCTTTTAAACCCTCTCATCACTCCTCATCAAATCCTCACCCACAAGATAACTCCCAATCATCCTTTTCAAATTAGGATTAAGGGAGATGTATTCAATTGAGATTTTGAGGGATTTTAATTCTTTTAATGATCTAAGGGTATTCAATCAGGATTTTAAGTGATTCTTTGAAATTCAATGTGTATTCAATCAAGATTTTAAAATAGTTTATTAAAATCCTTATAAATCCTGGGGTATTCAATTAGAATTTTAGAGAAGTTTATAACATTCCAGGTGTATTCAATTAGAATTAGAATTTAAAGAATTTGGAAAAGTTGAGGAATTTGAGGGAATTTGAGAGATTTTGTAGTATATTTTAAGCATCCACAAATCTCACCTCTCCTCATGAGATTTCGAGGGAATTGAATCAAAATTTTACATGAAATCTCTACAAATCAGTTAAACTCCATAAGAATCCATGGATTTATAAATCTATTAAAATCTCTCAAATTCCCAGTACATCCCCCTAATTGTCAAAATCAATTGATTAATTTCCTAATTAATTGCCAAACTAATTGTAAGATATTATTTTACATAATATCTTGCAATCAATCCCACAAATCAACCAAATGTGGCCGGTCCCAATTCTCCTAATAGGGCTGGCCACACCCCTATATATAGCCACTCATTTTATCCAAAACCTAAGTCCAATTATCTTCTAAAATTCTCCAAATTTCTCTAAACACTTTCTCTCTCAAATTCTAACTTTGGCATCAGAGATTCTTTGGTCAAAGCTGCCCCCCCCCCCACCTCCCTAATTCATCGTGGGCGCGTGAGCCTCTTGGCCTTGACCTAAGATGTTAATTGTTTTGCAAATGCATTTTCGTCCAAGAAGAAGAAGGCGGAAATTTGCATCCACAAAGAACAACCGCCGTTAGTTAATTTGACAAACAAACATAGAGGCGAAGAGGGAAGAAACTAAGGAGGGTCTATTCAATTGAGAATTTGAGGGATTTTAATTCTTTTAATGAATTTAGGGGTATTCAATTAGGATTTTTAGTAATTCTCTAAAATTCAACGTGTATTCAATTATGATTTTAAGGTAGTTTGTTAAAATCCTTAGAAATCCGGGTGTATTCAATTAGGATTTCAAAGAAATTTATGACATTCTACGTGTATTCAATTAGGAATTTATTTTAAAGAATTTTAAAAAGTTGAGGAATTTGAGGGAATTGGAGAGATTTCGTAGTGCAATTTTAAGTATTCACAAATCTCACCTCTCCTCCTGAGATTTCGAGGAAATTGAATAAATTTTGTTTTTCGTGGAATCTCTACAAATCAATTAAACTCCCTTAAACTCCATAGATTTATAAATCGACGGATTTTTGTAGAGTTTAATTGATTTGTTGAGGTTCCATATAAAAAAATTTATTTGATTCCCTCAAAATCTCATGGGGAGAGGTGAGATTTGTGGGTGCTTAAAATATACTATGAAATCTCTTAAGTTTCCTCTAATTCCTCAACTTCTTCAAATTCTTTAAAATCAAAATCTAATTGAATACACCTGGAATGTTATAAACTTCTTAAAAATCCTAATTCAATACACCCGGATTTCCAAGTATTTTAATAAACTATCTGAAAATCTTGATTGAATACAATTTGAATTTCAGAGAATCACATAAAATCCTAATTGAAGACCCTAAATTCATTAAAAGAATTAAAATCCATCAAAATCTCAATTGAATACACCCCCCTAAAAAAGGGTCACGATTTATGAAATTGGGAATTTGACTTACTTCCAATTGCTTCTGAACGTTTCTTGGCGGTCTCTTTGGGCGACGGGGGAGGGCGGTGGCTAGGCATCGTCATGAAATCTTCCTTGATCTCCTTCTTGGTGAGTATCAATGGAAACTTAGGCTTCTCCTCCTCTTTTTTCTTCTCTGAACCTGAACCCGAACCCGAACCCAAAGCCCCTCTCACTAGCCTTGGCGACTTCACGCTATTGTTACCCTCACTCCTCAACGGCGAGTAATTCGCCTTCTCCTCCTTGATTCTCACCCCTTAGCACTGTCATCACCGCCAATTGGAGACTTGCACGCCGATCACAAGTATCAATGTATGTCGGCATCAAAGCTTTCATTTCGGCATGAACAGAGGGTTGAAGATGATATCAATTTATTATTTTTTTTTTTAATTTTTAATATCCGCGTGATGCCCAGTTACTATCCGCTTGGGTGTCACGTCATCAGTTAACGGAGGTTCTGACAGAAAACTTAATGGATGTATGAAATGTTGAAAACCAAGATTGAGATTAACCCTAAATTTAAAGAAAATTTTGACAAATACTTTAGTCAAACTCTATATCAATTTATCCCCACCATGAAAAGTCTTTTAATTATTTGCATTTAATCCTTTGAAGGATAATGCTGCCAGAAAGACTAATTTTTTTTGAACAAAATATTGTGAAACATATAACGTGGTTGTTGATAATTAAATTATGACTTAAGGTATTAGTCGGTTTGCCTCCTAAATTTGTATAGAGATGCCAATTTTCCCCATAAAGTGTTACAAATAGCCAATTTTCCCCCATCATTAGATTTTAAAATTTTCATCCCATTTTCATCCAACCAATTTTTTCATTCTTTTTGCCCCCATACAGCTGTCACGTGTTGTCTGTGTGATCATAATGGATAAAAAATTGGATGAAAATTTTTAAAATCTAGCGTCAAAGGGAAATTAGCTATTTATAAAAGTTCTGGAGGGTAATTGGCTAAAATTAAAGTTTAAGGGGGAAATTGGCTAATGATAAACGTTCAGGGGGTAATCGGCTAAAGTTAAAGTTCAATAGGGGAAATTAATAGCTTTATACAAGTTCTGGGGACAAATCGACAAATATGCCTATTATTTAAGTGTTGATTAACGTGCTCAAGTGTCTTTGAAGGGTAATGCTAGAGATACCAACTTTTTAAACCAAATTTTGTAAACAATATAACGTCGTTTTTTATAATTAGATTATTATTTTAAGCATTGATTAACATACTTATTTTCTTTTAATAATGCATCATATAATTTACAAATTTAATTTAAAAAATTGGTTTACCTAACATATAATTCAATGGTCTACCATTGAAAAGTTGGCGCACCAAAAATTAACAAAAAGAGAGACAAAAATTCATGAGTCGTTCCTTAGTGATTGTGACCTATAATTTC